CGCGGACCGCTTCGTCGCGGTGGTCTATGCCATGGAGTCTCGAGGTCTGAGAAAGATGAGGCATGCTGTGATCATCAGCGCTGTGATTGTGGTGGTCGTTGCTGTGGGACACGTGCCGGTTTTCACCATGACAGAGGGTGACTCTGAGAAAACGAAGGAGAAGCGGTGCTTCGAGCCAAGCGACCCCTCTGTCGTAGTGACGGGACTCAACTATGCCCGCTTCTTCATCGGTTTCTTCATCCCGCTGTGCATTTTAATAGTCACCAACTTGGCCATCATTGCTAAAGTTCAAGCTAGCACGGGTTTGAAGCCACGGGCCAAAGTCAGAATTCGTAACCTGGCCTTAGCCGTCATCTTGTTCTTTTTAGTCTGCTTCACGCCGTACCATGTGATCCTTTTGCTACGTGCCATCAATTTCCACTTCTCAAATGGGACATGTGACTTTGAAAGAAGTGTCTACACACCCTATACGATCTCTCTGGGTCTGTCTACCATCAACAGTGCCATAAACCCTGTTTTCTATGTGCTTAGCAGCAACAGTGTTCATAAGAAGATCCACAAAGGCCTACAAGGGTTACGTAGCAGCTCAAGATCTTCTTCTTTTGCATGATTTCTTTTGTTTTCCTAGCTGGGACTTATTTTGCTTTTTCTGTAGCCTGTACAACATTTCAAGGTTTTTAATTTAAATATGAAATGTTTCTGTTATGCTTGTTCATTAAAATGAAATGTTATTGACCTTATCGTGGATGATTCATCTGTGCGTATGTTTACTATTTTTTTGCCCTTGTAATTTTTGTATTAAAATGTCATAATCTTCCAGTGAAACAACTTTTCTCTGGTGACATGGCAGATTTCTCCAATAATTGCATTTGTGTCATTCCATGTCAAATCAACCAAATTTCAGAAATTTCCCTGGCTCGAATTTTGGATTTTGATAATATTTTTGTTTCTGAAGAAAGATAAACATGTATAGTGATGAAAGCCAAAACATTAAATGTCATGGATGAATATTGACTGAGTAATCCACTATTTTGTAGAGGGGGGGTCAAATTTTCAGTTCTCACAGATTCAGAGCCAAATTACATAGGAGTTAAAAAATTACTTTAGAAAGATGGCAGCATCACGATTTGATTTTTACACAGAGATTAGTAGGTCTGTTAGTAAAATATGTTGACTTTAGCAATCTTTGTCGCATTATGTGCCAATGGTGATCATTAAAAAAATGGGGAAAGTGCACTTTTTAAGTTTTTTCTTCAAAGTTTGCATGCTTGTAACTCAAAAAGTATTAAAGATATCTTAATGCACTTTTAGATACTGGGTCCTAACAAACGTCCCTTTTGGCATCTTCATTTTTAAGCCCTATATGTTTAGTTTCCAGAGATATTGGGATCTTAATATGGCTCCAGGAGTAAATTGTTAAATTGTACACACATTCAGTGGTCAAAAACCAAATGTGGGTCATTTTGCAAAAATATGTTACTTCTTTTCATTTAAAGAGGAATGTCTGAAGAACAAATAATCTTGAAACTAGAAATGTATCTTGTTTCCTTCTGTCCAAACAACTGCATTGAACATACCTGTCTGAGTGCCAAACTTTGCCAAACTGACAAACTTTGGAAAAAGAACAATTATTATGTTACTCAGACAGGTATGTTCGACAGAAGGAAACGAGATACATGTCACTTTCCCCATTTTTGAATGATCACCATTGGCACATAATGCAACAAAGATTGCTAAAGTCAACATATTTTACTAACAGGCCTACTAATATCTGCGCAAAAAAATACAGAGTTTTGGCATGAAACTCTAGATGGCGCAGCCCGATAGGTCTAACTCTATCTGATCTAATGACAGCATTATCACATGGCACAGCTGATTGGTTCTCTCATGTATCAGTAGCCAATGAGTAGTGATGGGAAGTCCGGTTCTTTTCCGCGAACCGGTTCTTTTGGACAGTTCGTGTCAATGAACCGGTTCAAAAAAACGGTTCATCGGTTCTTTAACGCCCTAACGTAATGATGTCTTTCGTGCCGGCAGGGATTGTAGGTGGAGGGAGTGAATGTACAGCACTCTCTCCCACCTTCAATACCACGACTGAGGTGCTCTCTTCAGTCAGTTAAAACATCATAATCATGGTCTGAAAAGTTTACAATTAAGTTTTGCAGCTAAGCACCCAAATACAGTAACAGGCAGTGATGTGCATACTTGGATTTAAGTCTTGAAGATATAAAGTAAATAAATTAGTTGTCATCAGCGCAGAAACCATAATCCACTTACTATACATAATCCATTGCGATTTATTTGTTATTAAATAAACTTACGTTTCACCAGATAGCCCTTCATTCAAGTCTTCGGTTTACCCGCACTCATAACATTAGCACAGAATGATTTTTCCAAAAGAACCAGTTCGGTTCAGACATGCTGTGTCAATAAGTAATTTGTGGATTAATGCTTACTGGAGACGCAAACCGTTTCAAACGATTCAGTCCGATTTGTTGAACTGGTTCAACCGGTTCACTAAGAACTGCTGCAAATATAATGTGTATTATAATATGTATTTCTTACATGCAATACAAAAATTTGAGCCGGGGACCTCTGATTGAGTTGACACGAAATGACCCATCTGCATAAACCCCTCTTCTTTCGTGCAGTTGACTGTAAACTCACATTCAGATCTACCTCCATCTAATCAATAACCGGATTAATTAATTCAAGAATGCATTTAAAATGCACTTCTAAACATACAGCGACTTAAGATCACATTAGCGGAATTTTGGCAAAATTTCAGTGACGTAGGACATAGGCGTAGCATAAGCTCCGGTGAGAATATGCTAGTCTCGCGAGAAACAAGTTTTGTTTACAGTAAAGGAAAACCAGTGTCCTCTTGGCTTATATCGAAGTCCTCCGACATTTTTCTTTACAAATCCTCGTTTTGTACTACTAATTCGTGATTGGTGTTTTGTTTTGCTCTCTCCTCTGCGCTTCGTCACATCCGCTTTGTTGCCGCGTTTGCCTACATCCTACGTCATCCGCTGGACGCCATTCTCTCGTGAATGCACGTACGACAGTTAGCGGAAGCTAGAGATTAAGATTTATAAAGTTGTAAATATGGATATTTTTCTTACACAAACGCATCGCGTTGCTTCAGAAGGCCGTTATTAACCCCCCGGAGCCATGTGGACTTCTTTTATAATGGATGGGTGCAATTTTTTGGACTTCAAATTTTGGGCTACCATCCACGCCCATTATAAAGCATGGATTAGCCTGGACATTATTTAATATAACTCCGATTGTATTTGTCTGAAATAAGAATGTCATATACACCTAGGATGGCTTGAGGGTGAGTAAATCATGGGGTAATTTTCATTTTTGGGTGAACTATCCCTTTAATGCATGATATTTCTTTTAACCTTTTTTTGTAAATAAGGAAAATAAGTTATTACTTTTTACTAATGGTTACTTTTAGAGACAATTATTTGAAAGTGAAAACCTGATAGTTTTTTTTTTCATTTTATCAGTACTATTTGCTCTTAGAAATAGATCGTAGCAAAGTCCAAGTGTGAAATAGACGTTTTTGAGTTTGGTGTGAAATGATGCATGAAGCCACAGACACGTAATGAGGAAATGGTTAGAGGTTAACTAAGGTGCTGATGTGCAGAAAAAGAGGATGTCTTTCTGTTTGCAGGTGACAGTCTAGTCATGTACGGACTGTGTGCCTGCATTAAGACACGTAGTTACATACTCAAACACATGGGCTTGAGAATGGCTTATTTTTTTCTGATTTAAAGGATAAGTTCACTGATGTTTAACCAGCTTTGTATTGTAATGTCAATTGTAATATTTACAATGTCAGTACACATAAATGAACAATGTGTTACCTGCACTACATTTGTGGAAACTACAGATCGTACTTCAATGTTTTTGTATTCCCACTCATGGATAGTCTGATCAAGCCCAGTGCATTATATGAGTGTTGAAGTTTTCCTTTTTGGCCACTGCCATTTTTCTTTGTTTTACTACACAAGACAGTTAACTTTTATTGAAAACCCATCTGTTACCCCTCATTTATTGATTACATATCAAAGGTGAACAAATGCATGAGTTTGATGATTAATTTCTCTTTTAAACTTCTAGAAGTTTATGCATTTGGAAGATTACACTGCATTTACAATACATTTTATCAGTTTAAAATGTTCCCTGAGAAATAAAACCACAACTTTGCCATTGTTATCGACATGCTCTGCCTGCTGAGCTTCAGGAATTTATAACTCTACTTTTAAAAAGAACATTTTTTGGTATTACAAATGTAAAACAAACAACATATTATCACCGTCTTGATAAAAGAAGGGGGAATAAATGTGGTTACACCACACCACATCAGCTCTTCGTGTTCTGTATGCAAATCACAACAAAATGTTTCCAATAATACTTGAAAAAAAAAAAAACTATACGAAGAGCCCTGTGTTAGAAATTATATTGAAGAATCAGGACTTGATGCATGAAATGTTTTGTTGTGGTGAGGACTTTGAGCATGAGAACGGATGCTCAAATGTGTGTTTGTAACTTGTACTTTCCATGACCTTTAACTGTTTGTGAACTACCCATTTGCTAGGTTGCAATAAAAGGTAGAGCAGTTCTGTTTTTTTTTTTTGTTTTTTTTTACGCGAACACACTGAATGACAGGAAGTTTGACAGAATCATAAACCAGAACTGCCACACAAAGCTAAATGTACCAATCTTTAAGCTTTTAAGGGGAAGGTGTATGATGGCAGACTAAAAAAAAATGGCAGACTTTAAAAGCCTTTTTAAGCAAAAGGCTTAAACAGATAAAAATTAAACGACCAATTTGGTGACAAATTGTTGATGTATTTAAATGGTCTTGATATGAAATTAAAGTTATACTACAGATATACCACAGAAGCCATACGGGACAAACAAACAAATAAAACAAAATATGCTGTTGAAGAGCTTTAAACGTCTCTTTTTATTGCTTTTTAAAAAAAAAGACAAACTGCTCTAAAGTGCAGGGCACCAACTAATAGAACTGTATATTCATATATTCATCTTTAAAATATTAAATATTTCCAATATAAATATACCAAATACATTTAAACATTTCAGATGTCAGTTCAAACAGTAAGCCATGAGCTTAGGCAGCAGCAGCAGACAGTGGAATATATAAATAAGTAAATGGCTGCGTTAACTTCCTGTACTTGAGGTTTACAGTGATTTTGTTTTTTTAGGCACTTGTTAGTTCTCTTCTGTTGCTTATGTGAAAAGACTCCTTTTTATGTTTAATCTGTGGCAAAGTGTGTTCATCAAGTAACTTAGGAATTCCTTCCTGAGCTAGTGTGCATACAGTAGTAGTACTTTTGTCAAGCACAGTTTTTAATAGGCTTGGATTTATTTATAAAAAGTGCTTGGAAAACTTTACCTGTGCTTGTTTCCGTACACATTAATGAATGCAGGCAGTAGTGCGTACTTTGTTTAAAAGTTCAATTTTCTGAAGTAGTGTGTGTCAGTGCAACTGTAAGAGTGTGTGTGCATGTGATGTTGATTATTGCAGAGGATCTTTCTTGTTCTGGTAGGGCAGGAGGTTCATGTTGTGCTGGCTGAGCCACTGGCGTGAGATCTGATAAAAGAATCCTGGTGCGTTCTGACATTGTGATGGCATCGGCTACAAAAAACAACAACAGAAACAATTCATCACAAATGAAAAGTTCATTCACTGTTATGAGTTTGTTCATTAGTCAATTACATCAATAAAAAATAAAAAAAGTAGTAAAAATTAAACAAAAAAAGATTGGAATAATTTCATATTCAATCTTCAAATTAATGTAGAAACAACATAAAGACAGCATATTTTTTTATATTCGTTTAATGGCATCTTTTTTATGACTGAAGGCAAGTATCGCTGATACCAATATTACTGATGTCTATGGGAAATTGTTTTTTCCCCCCTAATATTTAATCATTGACTATAGCCATTCAACATTACAGATCGTTTTTTCCCCCCCAATATTAAACCATTGACTAAAGCCATTCAACCTTACAGTATAATTGAGAGCTATCAATTGTAACATTTATTAGACTTTAAAAAATAACAACTTTTAATTTAAGTGAACTTAATCTTCAGATAAACTCATTATAATAAGTATCATATTCTGAGATTTATTTTGATTATCTTATATTGTGTGTAAATTAAAATTAAGTGGGATAATCTGGTTTGTTTTATGTATGTGACGTGATGGACAGGTTAGCGCGATGACATGCTCAGTGAATTGGCGCGATGACATGCGCAGTGGATCTCATGTGAGACTGAGCTATTCGCGGGGAGTGTGTCGAGGGAGGAATACATGTGATGCGAGCTGTGCGTTGAATTCATTCCTGAGCTCTGACCAATAAACGGCAGTAAAGATCCAGTTTATGTGTATGCCTGCATTATTTCGACGGACCCATTTTCAAGAGACTGGAGTTTCCTCCTATGGTCTACAGCCCCTCTTACATTTCTGGTGGCAGCGGTGGGATACTGTGACTTCTGAACTGTGAACTATAATGAGTGAAGCAGACTCCGCACGCGATTTGCCTGGCGCAAGTAGTTCACATGCAGTGCAGCGATTTAATGGACATTTTCCGCCCATCTTTTTGGGCGACGGGAAAGAAGATTTTCTCCACTGGTGCAGACGATTTGAAGTGACTGTGTAGGCTAGCACTGATTTTGATAACTTCATGTTAGCAAAGTTTTTGCCAACTTGTCTTGGTGGTACTGCTTTTGACGATTCACGTGGGCGCACATCAGAACGTCGCAGGTATGACAGACATTCATATACTGACTGTGACTCTTTTTATGAGCGAAGTAGACCATCATACAGAGATACGAGTGGCGATAGGGACTATTACAAAGCACGCAGATATGAGGGCTATCGTGATCAAAGTCCTAGGATGTCACCGGAAAGTGGACAGCGCATTACAGCTCGGGACTCTCTGGATCGTGCTTCTTGTTCAGACAATGGTCGAAGCGACAGGTCATCGGACGGCTTCTCAAAGTGGCGGAGTGATCGGTCTCCCAAGTCCTGGTCATGTGCGTTTCCAGTCTCCTTCACGTGTTCATCAGCGCCAGGGAAACTATCAGTAGTTGACAATGAGGGCCAATTGCCAACTGCTGCTGACACCGGGCCCATTGGTAACGTTGTGGAACATCATGTGACTGCAGACACTGGTCAGGCCGTGACACAAAATGTGGCACTTGTCATCGAAGACACAATAGTCCATGCATTCATTGATACTGGTGCTGATGTTTCTCTTATCAGTGAAGATTTCAGAATGTCTACTCCTACCTTGCGTCAAAGACCCTTGGTGAAACAGTTTATACCCCTGACATCCATTTCTCGTGACACTTTAGATTCAGTGGGTACATTGTCAGAGAATGTCACTCTGGGAAAGCGTACAGTGTCACATTCATTTCAAGTGATCAGAAATTGCTCAAAAGCTCTTGTACTTGGTTGGGACTTTTTGTCTATGCACAAAATTGTGATTAACATGCAGAACATGTCTTTTCAGCTAGGTGAGGACTCCATATCCTTTATGGGTGTAGATCAGCATTCTCTGAGACTTGTGGATGTGACAGTGTGTACCACTAGGGTATTTCCTGCTCTGTCAGAGGCTGTAATCACTGCAAAACTTGCATCATCCCATACAGGTTTGCATCCAAATGGCTACACAGGTGTGTTTGAGCCTTACTATCATGAAGACTCCAAGATAGGATTTGCATGGATTGTGACAAAAGCAGATAAGGGTTCAATTTATGTGAAGGTAGTCAATCCCTCTGCAGATGACATTTCTCTGTACTGTGGTACTCCAATTGGAACTTTCCATTTCATTTCTGAGAGCAATCAGGATGGTTTTGTGTTAATTGAGAAAAGTGTGAACAATGTAAATGTTCAAAATGTGTTTGTGTCAAGTCAAGTGTCAATGCCCAAGTCACCTGTGCTGCCAGATCTCTCTAATACTGAGCTATCGGTGACACAGCAAAAGAGTCTGACAGATTTGCTAATCTCTTTTTCTGATGTTTTCAGTCAGCATGATCAGGACTAAGGTAGAACCAGCTTGGTTACCTACAAAATCAGGACTATAGATGATACTCCCATTTCCCAGCGAGCATACAGGACTTCTCCTGCTCTCAAGGCAGAAATTCACCGTCAGGTAGAAAAACTCAAAGCATAAGATATACTAGAGGATAGTGATAGTCCTTGGTCAAGTCCAATAGTAATGGTGAGAAAGAAAGACAATACCTACAGATTTTGTGTTGACTATCGCAAGTTGAATTCTGTAACCATTACTGATGCACACCCGCTACCTCAAATAGACAATAATCTTGATGCTTTGTCAGGGTCTCAGTATTTTTCTACCATGGACATGTCTTCGGGTTATTGGCAGGTAGAATTAGATCCAAATGACAGGAAAAAGATGGCCTTTACCACAGGGGATGGCCTGTATCATTTCAAAGTGATGCCTATGGGCCTTAAAAATAGTCCGCCCACGTTTCAAAGGCTAATGGAGTTAGTTCTTAGAGGGTTGCTTTGGACAAAGTGTGTCATTTATTTGGACGACATCATTTGTATGGGTAAAGATTTTGAGGATCACATCAAAATCCTCACAGACATTTTGACCAGGTTCAGGGAAGCAGGTCTCAAGCTTAACCCTGTGAAGTGTCATTTTTGCAAGGCGTCTGTAACGTACATGGGTCATGTTGTCTCAAAGGATGGGCTGTCTCTTGATCCAGCTCATAGCGAGAAAGTAAGATATTGGCCAACTCCAAAATCAGCTACTGAGGTGCGAGCATTTTTGGGCTTGTGTAGCTATTATAGGCGTTTCGTTCGAGACTATGCCTTTAAGGCTCAACCTCTACACAAACTAACCCACAAAGATGTGCGTTTTGAATGGACCGATGAATGTTCAGTAGCCTTTCAGCAACTAAAGGACGCTCTGATGTCTCCATCTGTCATGGCATTCCCTCATTTTGATCGGCCGTTTACATTGAGTACGGATGCGTCTAATATAGCTATTGGTGCTGTCCTGTCTCAAATTCAAGATGGCAAAGAGCGAGTTGTTGCATACGCTAGTCATGTACTCACCTCGACTGAAAATGGTCCACTTACGACAAAGAACTGTGGGCAATAGTTTGGTCATTCAGACATTTTCGTCACTACTTGAGTAACTGCCCCTTTACAATTGTCACTGATCACAAACCTCTTGCTGGCCTGAGAAAATTGAACTTTGATATTGATCCCATGGGACGTAGAGGTCAGTGGGCTATGGAGCTTGATCCGTATGAATGGGTGATCATCCACAAAGATGGCAAGAGACATACTAATGCGGATGCCATGTCTCGTATTCCTGTAGATTCATCTACAACTCTGACACCTCGCACACAGACAGTATCCATTCAAACAGATGACTTGCCTCTCACTTCTCAGACTGCTACAGAACCTTCTGTATCTATCTGTATTTATGTTCTACTGTTAGTGTTATCTGTATGCACCAAGGGTCTGAGAGTAACGCAATTTCAATTCTCTGTGTGTATGTGCTGTACATGTGGAAGAATTGACAATAAAGCAGACTTGACTTGACTTGACTTGCTGTTTTTGTTGGTGCCAATAGTCCAGAAAGTCAGCCTAAGGTGGAGTCACAAATTTGTCTGACCGAATGTGAAATCGATGATGGTTCGTCTGAGTCTACTGTGCAGATGCTGTGTACCTCTTTGGGTGATGAGGAAAAGAACATTGCATACTATCAGAAAACAGATGCTTTGCTCTCACAGGTCTATAGTTGGGTCGAAAATCAAAAGAGACCTAATCTTAGACAAGTAAAGGGGAAATTGAGAAAACTTTGGTGGCAGGTTCCCCGTATGGTGTTGAAGGGTGGAGTCTTGTGTCGTACAGCCTGTAGTGCTCCAGGTAAACCCCAAACTTATCAGGTGGTCATTCCTGATGTTCTCATTCAGGACATGTTACACTATTTACATGGTGATCCATGTTCTGGACACTACAGTGCTGAACGTACACTGAAGAGAGCTCAGAGTTTGTGTTTTTGGCCAGGAATGAGAAGTGCCATTGAACAGCATTGTGAGTCATGTGAAGCTTGTGAATCTCGGAAAAAGCCTGTTCCGCAGCGAAGGGCACCTCTCCAATCTATTAGTGCTGTACGACCTTTTCAGTTTGTGTGTACTGATATCACAGAACTGCCTGTCACGTCCAGCGGTAATAGGTATGTGTTGGTGGTGCAAGATCACTTTACTAAATACGTCAACGCATATCCTATGGTGGACCAAACAGCCAGTACAGTGGCACGGTTGTTGTGTGACCAGTACATACCTGAACATGATGTTCCAGAGGAATTGTTCTCTGATCAGGGACGTCAGTATGAGTCAGAGATTTTTCAGGACATCTGTAAGAGATTAAACATCAGTAAAAAGAGAACTACACCTTACCACCCTCGTGGTAACGGAATGGTAGAACGGTTCAATAGAACATTGAAGGATCAGTTAGCGAAGGTTCTTTTTCATAGTGGTGGTGAATGGGACCAGTACTTATCTGCAGTTGTACTGTCAATTAATGCTACACCTCATTCTAGCACTGGGTACTCACCATTCTTCTTGGCCCATGGTCGTGAACCTCGTTTACCGGCACACATGTACCTTGATTCTCCATCAGATGGAGCCGTGGACACTCCGCAGACTTATGGTTCAGCTCTAGTCAATCGTATGGAAACTGTGTTTCGAGAAGTGCTTAACACTAGTGCAGATCAGAGACTTAAGCGTGAGTACTACTTTAATAGGTATGAGAAATTCAGACCTTTTAAAGTGAGTGACCTGGTGTGGATGAATTATCCAACCACACTGAGAAAGAAACTTGAGCCAAAATGGACAGGACCATATCGGGTGGTTACGGTGGACATGGCTGGTATTATTTACACAGTGTTGAATGTGAGAAATGTAAAGGCAGAACCTAAGGTAGTTCACTATGAACGTTTGAAGCCCTACAGATCCAAGTGGACAGAACCAGCACTTACTTCCACATGTGCTGGTCAAGATAAGGACAAAAGGGTTCAGGAGTTGAGACCATTATACACCGCTTTATCTGGGTCTCTCCCTTTGTCATCAGGAGGGCTGTGGGTTGGTGAAAATGAGGCTTATGTACTCTCTTCTGTTCCTCATGTACGTAGGCCTTCAGGTCGCATAGCACAAGTTCCTCATGCTGTGCGGCAGCCACCTCAATTGGTTAATCATACCTCCTCAGTAGGTGGGGAACATGCGTCAAAATGTGTGGTTACTCGTTCAGGGCGCGTTATTAACAGGCCTAGGAAGTTTTCTTGTTAAAGAAAAAAAAATTGGGAATAAATTGTACTTTTGTTATTGGTTTGCAGTTTACTGTTTTACAATGTAAGAACACTTACATTTTCACATGTAATTTCTTTTCTCGTCTGCAAAACAAAAAAAAAAAAAAAAAAAGTGACGAAATACAAGGTGATAACATTTACTTTTGTACAATGGTTATAAACTGTTTGATATTGTGGTGTGGCATGTTATGTCTCTTATGTTAACTGTGACATTTCAAAAATGTGAGATTTATTTGTTCTTGGTATATTTGAAATGAGGACATTTCTTTTGTTAAGGGGGGAAAAATGTGAGATTTATTCTGATTATCTTATATTATGTGTAAATTAAAATTAAGTGGGATAATCTGGTTTGTTTTATGTATGTGACGTGATGGACAGGTTAGCGCGATGACATGCGCAGTGAATTGGCGCGATGACATGCGCAGTGGATGTCATGTGAGACTGAGCTATTCGCGGGGAGTGTGTTGAGGGAGGAATACATGTGATGCGAGCTGTGCGTTGAATTCATTCCTGAGCTCTGACCAATAAACGGCAGTAAAGATCCAGTTTATGTGTATGCCTGCATTATTTCGACGGACCCGTTTTCAAGAGACTGGAGTTTCCTCCTATGGTCTACAGCCCCTCTTACAATATTCACCTGTGCCCTTCAGAAATATACAGAAATTGAATAAAGTTATCAAACACTAAATTCTAAATTAAATATAGATGAATCCTTACAGCTACAAAAGTTATTGATTTCCTCTTTTTTCTTTTGTTCTTTGATTAACAGATATCCCAGCAGTTGGGTTATTAGGTTATTTGGCTGCTATTACTTTAAGATCTGCCGCTGCTGAATGTGATGCGATGCGGATCTTACATTCATGCTCGTAGTTTCATTCACGCTTTAATATGAAATGATACCAGCTACAGCGCGCGGACAGTATAACGGCTGACAGGACAGGACGATTAGTTTTTACTGACATATGGCCTGACAACATCTCATCTGACCACAGTTCTCTGTTGTTCTACTGAAGCTTCTCGTCATCTCTACCGTTTCCGCACTCGTTTGGTTTGCGCCTGTCGCTGAGGTGAAGCTGGAGAGCGCATCTGAAAAGTCTCCTGTTTGATGTACTCGTAAAGACGTTCTAAGTCTAAGTAAACACAATTCTTGTCAAGAAAAGAGAGACAGAAGTGAGTGGGGTGGCCAACCCTAGTCCCGCCCCTGCGTTAAATATTTTTAATGCTGTTATACTGGAAAAATGTAAAAATTAATTGACTACATTAATGCACTAATTTTGACAGCACTAATATATATGTGTGTGTATATATATATATATATACACAGTGGTGTGAAAAAGTGTTGGCCCCCTTCCTGATTTCTTATTTTTTTGCATGTTTGTCACACTTTAATGTTTCAGATCATCAAACAAATTTAAATATTAGTCAAAGATAACACAAGTAAACACAACATGCAGTTTTTAAATGAAGGTTTTTATTATTAAGGGAAAACAAAATCCTTAAAAAGGCGGTTCATGCTCGAAAACCCTCCAATGTGGCTGAATTACAACAATTCTGCATAGATGAGTGGACCAAAATTCCTCCACAGCGCTGTAACAGACTCATTGCAAGTTATCGCAAACGCTTGATTGCAGTTGTTGCTGCTAAGGGTGGCCCAACCAGTTATTAGGTTTAGGGGGCAAACACTTTTTCACACAGGGCCATGTAGTTTTGGATTTTGTTTTCCCTTAATAATAAAAACCTTCATTTAAAAACTGCATGTTGTGTTCACTTGTGTTATCTTTGACTAATATTTAAATTTGTTTGATGATCTGAAACATTAAAGTGTGACAAACATGCAAAAAAATAAGAAATCAGGAAGGGGGCCAACACTTTTTCACACCACTGTATATACACACACACACACACCAACCTTGGTTTGAATAAGTGCTCCAGGAGGGTCTTCTGGATCTTCTAGTTCAAGATTAAGAAGAGTAGTGGTCTAAAAAAAAGTTTCTTTATTTTAGTAGCACCACAAAAGTCAGAATATGTATTAGCACACCTCTCACCTCAACAAGCCACGTGAGGTAACAAAGTCTGTAGCACAAAGGGTGTGCCAATGTGCCAGATTTGAAGAGTGTAACACTCGGCCTGTACTCACCTGTGAGTCAGCACTTCCGTCAGGCTGTCCGAGCTGGAGGGCTTTGAGCAGTCCTTCATGGGAGTGTAGTTTGGGTTTGGGACCTGATAGTCTGAGAATTTTGGACCCAGACTGTAGATGACACCAGAAATTTGCAGCTTTGCTGATGGAAAAAAATAGTACGAAAGACTTTTGACAATGACGGACACTCCATTGATACTTCATCAATTAAAACAGGCTTGTGCACAGAGATTGAATTATAAACCACAACATTTTACTGTGCAAACTTGTTTGAGCGCACTTCAATCAGGGAAAATATTGACAATGCATACATACTGGAGGTTCTTACCCTGATCTTACACTGTTCAGTTAGAGAGTCAAAGACGAATAAGAGTGACTAAGATAAAGAGAAGGGAAAATCTATTAATCTAATCTGATGTTCTTAGAAATGGGTCAAGGACGAAAAAGGGTTTAAGCATAAAAACAATACTGCTTTAATAGTTTTTCCAAAAAAAGACAAATTAAAAAATGTAAAAGTTTTCTGTTTAATGTAATTGTATTTTGTTTTTGTTTTTCTGAGCAAAAAATAAATATCATACATTTTCCCCTGATTTACAGAAGACACCCACTAAAATGTCATTCAGTGTAACAATCTTGTCAGGCATATTTACAACAAAAATAAATTTATGACATATTAAAAAATTAATTATTTTCACCCCAAATACTAATTAGTTATTTTAATTTTTTTTTTAATTTGTCACTATCCTAGGTTTTGCCCACTTGTCAGTAAGAATTTTTTACTCATTTAAAACCCAATAAAATTGAATATGCTCACTTATTCTTTTATATATTTTAATATGTACATAACTATAAGTGTTACACTGAATGACAATGGAACATTATTTTCAACCAAATTTTGACATTTTATTCTTCAAAAACTTATTTGAAACCTTAAATGTAGACACTTTACTTGCATTTAATGTGCTTTCTATGGACATAAAATCACTTTTGTAAATTTCTTTTGAGGTGGACATCTTAATGTCTTTGACCCAAATGTATCGGTGTATTCATATTGTTTTCAATAAAGGAAAAGTTTGTTTAATTAAAAAAAGTCATGTAAGGTAACTATCTAAAAGAGACTGGATGTTTTTAATACATTTTCTGTTTTCGCTTTAGTGATATTGTTGTTTTTGTCATTTTTATTAGTAATTTTAAATGTCTATTCTTATTCATTAGTTTAAGTTTATTTTTTATTAGTTATTTTTAAGTTTTAATTTTCAGTAAACAATAATAACCCTGCTAATCAATTAAAACTGTATATTTTTGATTCACCTTAAATACATCACCTTGCGTGTATACGTCTGTAATACTACTACTACTACTAATAAACAATTAATAATCAGTATTTACAAAAATTAATGTCAAACATTCATAATGCTTTAACAAAACTACTTCACTTTCACCTTTCTTCTTCTAAGAAATAATCATAAAATAATAAAACATTAGGGCAAGTCATAGAAAAGGAATATTCAAGTCATTATATGTATGAATTGCATTCATAATTAATTTTATGAAAAAATTAATAGATTGAGAAACAGCCATTACCAAGATGGCTGCTCAATGAACCATCTACTCCAGTAAGAAATATACTGGCTATACAGTTTGCAATGCATCTCATTACAACCGCGTTCAGTAACAAAAGCCATAGACTAGTACCTTGATATTGCTGCAGACTGAGAGGGCTTGTCTAATGTGCTCTGCTGTAGCACAGACAATGTAGGGATTTCCATCACGACAGGGTCTTTCTCTGCCCCCTCAACTTGAAAGCAGTCATTAAAAATGAACCAGGGATTCCCCTTTTCACCATTTTCAGTCTGTGAAACACAAGCATCAAATACCACAATAACACTTCAGCACAGATGTAACAGTTTGAAAGTAGGTCAATTTTGAAACAGTAAATTAATTTAGTCACGCAACCCCAGAAAAAAAAAAATATATGCAAAAAAATAAAACATACGTTTTCAGGAAACTGGGAAGTTCCTGCTTCTGCCACAGGTAGGGTTGTTGATTCCTCTTTGCTGGTATTGTCCTGGAATGCACCCCAGTCTGAAAACCCATTGCCATGTTGCTGGGGTTCTGTCCAGTCCGCAGAGCTGAACGTGGACCAATCGTCAAAGCCTTCACAACTCTGAAAACCATCTTCACCATAACGGTCCAACATACACTCCCCCACTACACACAGCGACGCAATCCAATTCCACCTGAGAGTCTACTACTGTTCTGTCTACTGTGCATCTACTTGTTCTATCGAGCTATAGCAGGATCAGCAGGGCTACCATGCTTTATCCCTATTGACCTCAATTCTGTTGTCGTTTTTGTAGCTACACTTTTGCCAGTGAGCAGTTTGTTCTCTGGTGTCCCACAGGAGGCAGGGAGTTTCCATTGTGTTTCAGAGGCAGATACACATGCTTCCTTCAAAAGACATTTCCTCAGTTGCTTTACTTCGATTACCAGGAAGAGGAATCTGGGAGGGAGAAACAAATGTAAAATATTAAAGTTACATGAACATTGTATTTTATTTAGACGCTATCTATCTATCTATCTATCTATCTATCTATTGATCTATCT